CCTCAATTCTCAGAAATATATATATAAAAATAATAATTAACCCAACAACAAAGGCACTCAATATAATTTCACTTCTTTTAGAATTAAAAAAAAAAACAAAATCAAAAATAATTTTTAAATTTAACAATCCAACTAAAAAAAATGCTGCTGTCAGTTGCAGCTGATCATAAATATTTCACATTTTGTGGTCTTTATATTTACATAAAACTAATTTTTTTTGTTTTTGTTTTAAATATATTATAATAGTTCATATATGATTTTAAAATGAAGTTAATTTTATTTGTAGAGATCAGAATTTTCAAGGCAGCAATATAGAAATTCATGATCAATACATATAAGTTAATTAAATTAACTTCTATAACCTAAACATAACTTTTAGTAGAATATCGGAGAAATAACTTCCCTCTTCGGCTCTGATGGTCTCTTCGATAATTAATGAATTCCTCCAACAAGTTGATAAATCATTATATAGTTTAACATTTCTACAAACACAATGTTTATATTTCGAGCAATGTCAGAAATGCCTAAAGTGCCTCGATGGTCTCGGCGTTTGAGTTGAAGCCATGACGACGGCAAACCATGCTGCTACGTCGACATCGAGTGTTTCGTATTTCTTAATAAATGGAGTTTCCTGCAATAAATTAAATTTTAAATAAAAATCTAAAAATAAAACTTAACTAAAATTATTGTAAAACTTTGTGAATTAGTTTTTGATATTTGTCTATATGGATCATGACACAATGTTCATTCAAGTATTGTCTGCAGTTCTGTAAGATAATAATATTGGAGAATGGAAGATTTTTATTTCAGAATCTTGGGAGTATTGATATAATCTGGTGCAAAAATGTGGCTGGTTTAGAAAAAGCTTGTTAAAAAGACCTGGCAACATGACTTCTTGTCTCTTGTACAAAGTAATTGCACTGTCAGGTGAAATCTTGTAAGAAATTTCAATTTTCCCAGATTGAAAATAACATTATATAACAAAAATAATTATATAATAAACTCCTGTAAATGTTCATCAGATGGAGAATTATTTTTAAAAAAATTGAAGACAAAACTGCCTAAAAAGTTCCTTTTTCAGAAATTTTTGTAATTTTAATTGGATGTGTTTTGTGTTTTTAATTAAAAGGACTCTTTGTAATTTTCTGGCGACAAGCAGCCTACAAAGAAAGGTCAGTCGTCAAGAATGTGTTAGTCTTGGAACACAAAAAATAATAAATGGTGATCCTTTTTACGCAGTTTTGCCTTCAATTTTATTATATATAATAAACACTTTAATTAATACTGTATGTGTACAGTATCCCATATAGCAGATGTGGCCAAATTTTGTCAAAATAGAAGCCATACATCACCTCACAGAAATATGCAAAAGTCACATTGTCTCTTGGAATGGTTACATGTATCTATAATAAATACTAAGTATACAATAGACTAAGTATAAGTCAAATTTTAGTTGTTTATCTGCTTTATTTTTATAAACGAAAAAAGAAAGATTAAGAAGTGATTAAGAGTTTGATAGAAACATCTGATTTTAAATTTATTTGCTTTTCAAGTTTTGCAAGTAAAAATTAATTTAAAATGAATGAATCTGTATCTGTAAAAATAAAACAGAAAAACATCTAAAATTTGATCTCACTCATAAAAACTATGACCATTATGCTATCAATACATTATCACAAAGAAGATCAACCTCAAAAAATTTCACAAAGCAGTTTTAAATTTAAACTTGATAAATTATGAAAATATTGGAACGATTTCCTTCACAGTGAACATTACATAATAATTTGCAAATTGAGTATAATGTGCATTACATTATAGAAATCTGCAAATTTAATAGCTTCGTAACACTGAAGATGGAATTTTGTATTATAAATTTTATTAATTAGTACTTATAATACAAATATACAACTACAAAAGAATTCATTAAAAAATATATTTAACTAATATGAAAGAAAAAAACAAATTCATACCAGTAATTTTCTGTATTTAGGTCTTTTCCTATAATCTTTTGTTAAACTAGAAAGTAAATTGAACAAATTAGCAACATGGTTTTCAGTTAATATTATTATTATTTGCATATATTAAAATTTTAATTTATAAGATTAAACTAAATAAAGTCATGTTATTTACTATTTATAAATATAATAAATTATTAAATAGTAATTAAATCATAGAATTAAGATATATAAGTCATTTTAATCTATATATGCAAAATATAAAATAAAAAACTAACTCTTGTTTCCAGTAAAATCAACATAATAGGTAACTTTGTAGAATAGGTGTAGAAGTAGGCTGTTATTCTGTATCTTGATAAATTTATGATTAATAGTAAATATCTTAAACCAATTTACTTTTCTTACTTAACATAATTTAATTAGACCATATACAAAGTGATAGAGAATTATTTAAAATGTTCATTTAAAACATTCTTCAGGTGAATTCAAGTGAGAAAAACAAGAACTATTTTCAGTCCACATATTAAATAAATTAAAATCACTGCACAAAATGCTTAAATTTAGAAAAATTACTATAAGAACAAATAATATAAAAAAATTAAATTAAATTCGAAAGATACAAAATCCAAGAGTTGAGGAGCATATATACTGTATATATATTTATATATATATACAAATAATTGTAAGGTAGAGAGTAAGTGTAAAATCAAGATGTTCACATACTTTTACCATTATTAAATTAAAAAATAATACATAAATAAGATACCCTTTTCTGTAAGATCAAACCTGAACAAAAAATTGGATGATGAAAAATATTACATTTTTCTACTGTAGGCCAGTAAGCTGTTATGTTATTAAAAATCATTCTGCATGTAACATTTGGCATGTATACAATAGGTGTAGCTGATTGCTGATGTAAATTATCAATATAACATTAAGAAATTTTAATAATACAATGTGAGAATAAATTATTTAGGGTGACTAGACACTTTGTTGTCCTGACAATAGTTGTCAGGACACTTAAATGTCCTGAATTACTTATTTTTATATTTTGAGCAATTTTGTTTGACAATTTGAGTGACTGTGTGTCTTTATGAAATCAGCTGTGACAACACCTATAACAATCACTAACTATAACTTCAAACTGTTTTATGAAAATTACTAAATTTATGAACAGCCAATGTCTATTTCTTGAATATGTTATTGATTGCACAATGAATTTTTGCCTTAAGAGTTTCTAATGTTTATGGATGATCTTCATACATTACATTCTTTGTCCACAAGATATTGAAACTCTTACAACAAAACTCACCATGCAATCAACACACCCAAGGATATGTTGCACAACTGTGTGCATGACATACTTTGAAGATGTGAAGAGTATTTGTGCAAGAATGAGAATCACTTGCATCATTTTCATGATGCATCTTCAAAACATAAATGGAAATTTTGTAAAAGAAAAATTATTTTAAAATATGACAGTTTAAATAGAATATTTAAGGATTGTCATTCTGAAGTTCATTCAGTAAGCTCATATTTGAATATTAAAATAAAATAAAAACAACTATAAAAGAAAAATTATTTTAAACTATGACAGTTTAAATAGAATATTTAAGGATTGTCATTCTGAAGTTCATTC